AAGAGAGAGCTCAGCTTGCCATGAGGACTCTGTCCATCTGTGCTTCGATTAGCTACTCTTGAGAAAGCCGCAGACGAGCCAGCCTGGGGTGGTCAAAGGGCTTGGGATTTGGTGTTTAAACTCTCAGCGCTGCTATCCGCCTTCCTCTTCCTCTTTGTATGTGTGCTTGTCTGTGCATGTGCTCTTTTAAAATCCCTCCACTTCTTTCTGTTTGTTTTGTTCAATCAAGTTTTGTTCCCCAAGCACTTGGGTGCCTGTGCACTAAGCATTGTGTACAACTCCCTGAGAGGGGGGGGGGGGGGGGGGGGGGTGAGGTGCAGTTTTTGGAAACAGCTAAGAAGATGCATAGTTAAAAAGCAAATGTACCGAAAGACAGCCTGCAAATGGATCTGATGGCAGTGGTGATGAAGGCAGCTCTGCAGTAAGAATGGGGAAAGTCAGGGAGCGATGGAAGGTCCCAGCGCTGCCGGCCAAGGTTGGAGTTTCATAGGTGAGGAAGGAATAAGTGTGTGATGTGCAAACAGGAGTGACACTGGAAAAGGGAATACCCCCAGAACAAGGCCTGGGCTGTCGTGGCCACTTTGGAGATTGGGGGAAGAATAGGGAACTCACAGAGAGTTCCACATCACCCCCACAACCCAGGAGAGAATGAGGGTGGGAGATGAGGACATGGATTTCTTGGGGGACACTAGGGCAGTTGTGACTGTCCCAATTGGTGGCGGGGGCACAACAGGGATCCTTGATGACGGGGGCACAGGGCATCAGGCCAAATGCCCAGTTGTGGGGCCCATGGAGTGCTTCCTACGGAACTAATTCTTTTTGCCTTCAAATGAGAATGCCAGGATGGGACAAAAAGCCAGCTGTGTTCAACCACCCCCTCTCAGGGGAGGAGGGAATTCACTCATTTTTCTCTCTAGCACTGGCTAAGGACTTGTCTGAATGGACTAGAGACTCTAATGGTGTTTTTACTGCAGTATGTGAACCATCTTTTAATTGCCACTGAGGCCACAGACCAGGGCACATCTGCTGGATTTCATTGGGTCTCCGAGAAGACGCAAACCTCACAAGAACAGGTGCAGTATTTGGGGTTTCTGACTTTCAAGGGGTGGGGGGAATACCAGCTGCCTCAGGAGAGGAAGGAAGTGGTTTGTCGAACTCCCCCAAAGCTGTAAATGCAGGCTTGGAAAACTGGCAGTCAGTGCTTTCTTGGGGCACGCATGGCTGTTCCTCAGCACCAGGGCAATTCCTGGCATGGAGGTATGAAGGGGTGGGGGCTGGGACTGGTCCTCTCCAGCCCCAGGCCTGGCAGGCACCTCTCTCCACCCTTCTGTGATGCTGGCTAGCTGGAGGGCATCACTCCTTCTCCAAGCCCAGAGCAGCCATGCTGGCTGCCCAGCTGTGCCTGGCTAACTACTGCCTGCAGTGTGTGAAGCTGCGACCACTGGCTGGTTGCTGCCTTCGGCTTGCAATGGCACAGGGGAAGGGGGGGCTGCCGGTTTACATCAGCTGACTTGCCTAAGACTGGACTGCCTGGAGATCATTGATGCAGTGGACAGACCATGCCCAGATGCACCTCGCTACACAGCAGTGAGATCTGAGGGAGTGCCTACGTGGGGATACTACACCAGGCTGAGGAAAGTTCAAAAACCCAAGGAGACTGAAGGACCGTGGAACTTATGGAGGACCTTAAGTTCCTGCTCAAACACCAATCCAGCAAGGGAGGACCAGTGGCATAACAGACCAGGACGAGAAGAAGCTGACATCAGGGTCAGCCAAGGGCCCACAACTGGAGGGGGCAAGGGAGAAGAGCCCTGAAGAAAAGCAGCCTATCGGAGACCAGGATCAGGTCCCAGCTTGAAGATTTAAAACAAAGAGACTTGCATTTGCCTAACACTAAGTAGCTTAGATAATAATGCTGAAGGGAAGAGAGGGAGTTTCTTGGAGTCACTACTCTGACTGTCTCTGTTTACTTCTGTTAATTTTGTTACTCCCTTCTGCACCATATGTCCTTGTGGAAAGAAAACAGTGGACTTCCTCATTCCTAAGTTTTCAGTTTTAGAGTACAGGCTCAGTGTGCAATAGAATGCTTCTGCTTCAGTAGTACTGGTGAAAACCCAGCATGGATTTCTTACACCTGGAAATGTCACATGTCTAGATCCTAACCAAAGACCAGGTAACACTGACATGCAAATTGCAGAAGGGCGGGCACTGCCATCCCAGATCAGCCAAAGGAGAGTAAAAAGAAAATTCATGTTTGGCTTAAAAAGGATTCCATAGATCCCTGGGAAAAACATTCTCCTTGTGAGGCCACTACAGGCAAGGACCACTGAGGCACAGTGGTCTAGTTTGGTGGTGGTAGTGGACTGGCAACATCTCTACAGCACCCAAGAGAGCAACAGCCAATTGGCACAAGCTAGAATAGGCCCCTGTGTGTGAGGGAGAACTTGGCGTGGTGGCTAGCATGTAGCTTAGTCTTTGCTAAGCTAGAAAGGTCCTGCCTGCAGCTGGATGGGCAACTACATGTGAATGCTGCCTGCTATGCATTATTCACACAAATGGGGCTGGTAAGTGCCAATTGGTACAGCCTGGAACGCACACTATGGGTGCAAGAGAACTTGGTGCTGGTCAAAAGATGGAAGTCAGCAAATATGCCTAGCTCAATGGCCCACATTGGAAATAACTGGCAAATACAAAACTCCGCAGGAGAAACCCTCTACAGGGGATCTCTGGACTCAGCTTCACAACACAGGTATGCCTTCCAAACATGGAAACCACCTCGGGACCCATTGGGTTAGTAGCCAGAAGGTTTTCATGGCTTTCCCTACAGAAGGATAGGGCACTGGATACCTTGTCCCCAATCTCTGAATTACTACAGAAGTCCCCAAGGGTGCTTGGCCAAACTGCAGAGAGGTAGTTCAGACATTGGTGGGAGACATTGCCAAAGCGGGGTAGCCTATTCCTTTCTCTGTGCCGTTCTTCCACCAGCTGGGGTTTTCTCAAATCACCATGACATTAGAGTGCGAGCCTCTGCATTCTCTGTGTTTCTAGTGAAACAGCTGATGCCATTTCAGACATACAACAAAGTTAGCTCAACTTCAGCAACTTGCCATACAATGTTGCTAGACACTGCATTGTTAGCAAGTGAGGACAGGGTTTGCAACACTTGTAGAAGACAAAACTGTTTGTTTAAAGCATCTCATTCAAAAGCTCAATGCTTTACAACCTGCTTTAAATTTCATTCTGGTAAAAGTGGATTGGGAGGATTGTTGTTTTAGCTCTCCAACCGAGGCTGGCTACAAAAACTTGAACCTTTATATTTTCTTCTTTGTGCTTTTCCTCCTTATTTTGCTTGCTGTTATTGACCGTGTTTGTCAACAATTATTCATTCTAATATTTCTCAGACTTGCACATGGTAGGCATGTCATGAGTGAGGCTGGCTGGGACCAGGGGTCAGACTTGTTCTGTTTCTATGCTTCTATGTTTTTCTGTTCAAGTGGCCCTCACCTGCACCAGCAGTCTGCACCTTCAAGGCAAAGCTGCAAAGGCTTAGTAATCTATCTCCCTAATCAAGAGGAATCTGTCTTTTAATAAAAAATCATCTCAGGCTCTGTTAGGCTCAGGTCTGGGGTCCACCCGGGTTTGCCCCAGCTGTTGAGTGGTGTCAGAATTCAGGAATCTCAATTTGAGAAGAGGGAATAAAACTAGGGTTCGTGGGAAAGACCAAGCGTCCAGACCATTTGAGGCTTTATTGTATTTACCCCAAGGTTCCCGCGGTACACTCACAATAATGTATGCTGTATTACCGGGCAGGCAGAGATGAACTCTGCTGCAAATCTTCAATACCTTTACAGGGCATTTATAGGTACACAGGTACAGGGCAATTGGTGACAGAATGTAGAGATTACGATAAGATTCTGAGGTCATCACTTACAGAACAGATAAAGAAATGTCAGTCAATCACACTGTAACAATGAGATTACAATATTTCTAATTGTCTGTATTGACACTTTAGTTGAGTAAGGAACCCATCTCCAGGTCTGCTTAGACATGCAAATTCAAGCTACTAGAAACTATTCATGATAAGCTCAGACCCTTATCTCGACTCTAAACATTCTGCATGATCAGGGCACATGAAGCCCTGAATTCCAACAATGACTATTTACAATGGATATTTGGGCTAAAATGGCCTGTCTGCTGTAGCCTACAGCTAAAGGTGAGAGAAAGGAGCAGAGGAATGCCATTTTAAACAGTGACAGCTTGGTTTTGAGAAGGAAGACAGGATTTGATCTCACAATGCAAAGGCACACAGGAGTAATGCTTTTCAGACAAGATTTATCCAAATTTTCCCAACACTGGCTCAGTTTGGTAACAAGAGTGTGGAAAAAAATTTAGCAGAAAGAACAAAGGTGTAATCCTATGCATTCTTTGACAGGAAAAGTTGTGTTGGGAATTGCAGGACCTTTTTTTCTAAGTTTGCATAGCGCTGAGCCGTAACACGTTTCTGTCAAAACGTGCATAAAGCTGAATCTTAGTACACCAAAGAGGGGTAAAAGCACATGATTTATGGAGACATCGTTTCATTTTCTGTGCGAATGTAGGCTTTCCTCGATAGCGATTGTGGATGTTTTGCTTCATTGGGGATGTTTGTGCGTGTGTATAATTGCTCATTACAGAATAGAACCTAAACACAATACAAAGACAGGGAAAATAAGAAAAAAATAAATGAGGTTAATATAAAGAGAGGGAAAAGGAGTGCGGAAGCACAAAAAAATCTTTTCGACAATGAGCCATCATAAAGACTATAAAGTGGGGAGGGCGAATCAGGGAGGTTGAGCAAGCACAATACGGTTATCTTCATACTAGGAACGGAACTTGAATTCTGCCCTTATCGAACTGCCATAAACAATCCACACTTTTTCGCTAGGGCGGGCAAGGCGGCCATTTTTACAAAGGGCAGAAGTGACGCAAAAGACGGATCCATTTTTCGCGCTTTCTTTGACCTCGGAAACGGAAATTAATATAGGGAGACGCGGTGACTTCTCATTGCTTTGCCACTTGTTTTGTTTCAGAACAAGGGAATTGGCCGGTGTTGAGAGAGAAGTCATGGTGAGGGACGGGACGCTGCAACAGCTAGAGCTCTTACTCCATCTCTGGGAAAACAAAGCGAGGGGTGGCTAGTGTGCGGGAACGCTGGGACGAGGATGGCCCTTTTTGGGAGGAAGGGCTCCTGGAATCCATTCCTAGCTTCTGATTGAGCTTGGGAGGGAGGCGGGGGGTGTCAAGCGCCTGGTAGGGGGTGGATTCGAGTCAGAGCTTCCTTTGATTCAAGTTTTGAAGGGGGGTAATTAAATAGATCAAGCTGCCTCATGCAGAGTAGTCTATTTAGATTACAGTGGCACTCAAGGGTTCTTGGCAGAGAAAAAGGGGCGGGCGAGAGGACATGTCTTCCATCCTTCTTTTTCGTCTGGGATGTGCAAACCCACTGCTAGATTTTTAGGCAACCCCACACCCATTACTTGTAATGGAGTCTTATGCATGTTTTAAGTAAGTGCCAGTATAGTCAGTGGAACTTTGAACCCTATACACATGCAATCAGTGTTGTAATCAGCCTTGGTATATGTGAATGTATTGGTAAGAATGTCATGCTTATTTTTTTTAATTCCCATTTGCTATAACTTAGTATTTTGTTGTCTTTCTGCAATCCAGGATGAATTCTCTGATCCTGATCTGGCTGTTTTGGGTGAGGAGTCCAAATCAGAAAATGGAGAAAATGCTCCTGTTTACTGCATCTGTCGCAAGCCTGATATCAATTGTTTCATGATGTGAGTATTGTGGGAAGGAATAGAAGAAATGTGAAGACATTTCACTGATGTATTTTTGTTTATGCATAGTGGATAAACTAAGTGGGATTTAAATGCTAGAATACCCTTTCCCCTTCCTGTGTGCTGGGTGGCCTCTCTTGCTGCAGTCCAGTCTTGCTAAGCTCCAAAGTGCTCAAGATTTAATACTTTTATTGAAGAAATAGTGTGGTGTGTGATATGGGTTTGTTGCAAGAGGAAGAAAGGCAGGTTACACATGCAATGCAATAATAATAATAATAATAATAATAATAATAATAATGTGGGAAACACTGGATTTGCAAGATGATCTGCTTTGCTTTTTAGAACATTGAGGATCATTAGGTGCAATACAGTAGGCAGCTTGGCAGCATGCCTGTAGAATTAAGGTGCAGGAACCCTCAGAGTACACATACATATTAAATCTGTGCTCTGCCTTTCCATCACAAACTGGTGCTCAAGGGGGCTCATTCTCAACTCTTCAGTTCAGGAGTATATTTTAGGTGTGGAAACAGCTTCAAGTCCAGTCACAGCAGAATCTATTCTTGTCTCCCCCCACCAATTTCCTTTTAGCAACCTGATTTAAAAGAGCGGGGGCTGGATAAGCCTTTTTACTTTTCCTATAAGATATTCTCATTGATGAGCTGCAATGCTCCCAGAAATTTGCCAGTAGATTCCCTTGTCCCCTTACCCTGGGACGGAAGGCTTTATGCTTTCTAAGAGCTGAAAGTCTAGATACTCAACTGAAGAAAAGCCTTGTCTAGAGGATACTTATTTTTCTCTTGCTTTCTCTCTGCTCCAGAGGCTGTGATCACTGCAATGAATGGTTCCATGGCCACTGTATTAACATTACTGAGAAGATGGCAAAGGCCATTCGGGAATGGTACTGCATGCAGTGCAGAGGTGAGCTGAACAATCAGATGGTCCTGGAATTGCAGTTAGACCTCATAAATCTGGGCAAAGGCTGAAAGATGTACTTGTGCATGTGACCTTTAGATAGTGTGTCTGGAAATCCCAGGGTTTTATTTGCAAAACAAAACTCTATATTTTTGACCATCGCTGTTATTTGAAAATAGGTTGTCAAAAATGCCCCAGGGTCAGTAATGGTGGCTAAAAGAAAAAGAAGCCCAACCTTGTAAGATTTTTGAATTTGTATCACATTTGTTTTCAGACTCAAACTTTTTTGTAAAATTTTTCTGAGATTAAGTCATTCCAGTTTAAGGCATTTTGTATATTTGTCTAAACTGGGAGAGAACAATAATAATAATATGCAATCTGTTTTATTTATTGGACTTGCATGCCACACCCTTAGCCATAATGCTGTCTGGGCAGCTAACATATATTATACAGCAACAGATAAAACAATTCAATTAACAGTGCATTTGAACAATACATAATAAAACATATAGAAAGCAAAGCAATAAAGGGGGCATGAAAGTTAATCATTCAATTAATAAAACCATTTAAAATATGTGGTTAACTAAAATAAAATTGTAAATAAAGTAATATTGTTTATAACATGGCAGTAGCAGCAATAAACCAATATAAGAAGCATTAAACCAAGTCAACTCACTCACCAAAGTAGTTATGGAAAAGGAATATTTTCAGTTGGCATCTAAAAGCGAAGAGAGAAGATGATTGGCAGATCTTTAATGGAAGTGAATTCCTAAGGTGGGATAGAAAAGGCCCTTCTAGCCACCCCCCCCTTCATTTCAGGGAGGGATTTGGAGCAGGCCACTGATGAAGATCTCAGTGATCAAGTTGGGACACATGGAGGTAGGCATTTCCTCAGTTATCTTGTCCTCAAGCCATTTATGTCTTTATGTTATTGTAAACCCTTTGAATTGGGCCCAGGTGGCAATTGGCAGCCAATGTAGCCTGCAAAGGAGTGGGGTGATGTATTCACAAAAGCCAGTCTTCATCAGCAGGCAAAGAAGAACTTTGAAGACCATTTTCAAAGGCAACCCACATAGAGCACATTACAGTGATGCAGGCATGAGGTTATCAGTGTGTGGATAAGTGCAGCAAGGCTCCACTCATCCAAGTAGGGATGCAGCTGATAAACCAGCCGAAAGCTAGTGCAAAGCACTTATGACTATGCGTCCACCTGAGCAACAAGTGGCAACTTGGGATCCAGGAGAAGTCCAAGGCTGTGAACCTTGTCCTTTAGGGGGAGCACAACCCTATCCAGGTCAGGCTGAACATTCCCCAGTTGACTGGACAGACTTCCCACTAACTGTACCTCTGTCTTGTCTGGATTGAGCTTCAACTTGTTGACCTGAGCCCAGGTAATGGTTGAGAATGGTCACTGATGGCAAAGCAATAAATCATGCAATTATTGGCAATAGCTAGGCCAGAGAAAGCTCTGCTTTTTGTTAAGCTGCATGTGTGTCTTGAAATGTAGCTGAATCTAACTCAGTGCCTTTTCAAAAAGGGCCAGTTAACACCCAATAGATAGCAGCAACAAAATCAAAGAGCAATTTACACATTCTCCCCCTCCCATCTCCGGAATAGCACCTCATCCTTTCATCTGGAGACACCACTCCCTTCTTTTGGAACATCTTTCTGCTTTGGTATGCAGGTGGAAGAGGTCATACCATTGTAACTTTTACCTTTGTAACCTATTAGAAAGTGTTGTTTGTAATCCTTTATTGGACTAACTGCTTATAACTGCCAAAAGACCTTTCTAGGTGGTTTACAACATATGAAACATATATATACTTAACAACACATTAAAACCTATTAAACACTTAAAAAATTAAGAACATCAATATAATAGCAATATAAAAAGGCCACAGCATTCATAAGGGCTAAGCATTATTTTTTTAAAAAAAGGTATGTCTTTGCCTGGCATCGAAAAGAACATAGAGATGGTGCCAGGAGAATTTCCCTGGGGAGGGAGTTCTAGAGATGGGGAGCAGCAGTAGAAATGTATAACAAGGCATCCTGAGAAATGCTCAGAATGTACCATACTGGAATAGTTTGTTGGCAGCCATGTTATTCTTGAGAAGAAAACTTTTAAAAGAAATCTTTCTTCTGTTGTGTATTTTGGAAATACACACATCTGGACACAGACGTATTTTGGTCAACCACCTGGGTTAGATGAGAACAAGACGTAGAACCGAGTGTCACCATCATACAGATGATGCTTCAGGCTGAACCTCTGGATGAGCTTTCCCAGTGGTTTCATGTAGATGTTGAAAAGCATGGGGGACAAAATATAGCCCTGTGGAACTCCATGATACTGAAAGCTGCTGAGAGGTCCAGGAGAATCAACATTGTTGAACTCCTCCTGTCTGTCTCCTGGCAGAGGTCATCCCACAGGGTGACCAAGGCAGTTTCCTTTCCAAAATGAGGCCTGAAGCCCAATTGAAATGAATCCAGATAACTCATTTCCTCTGGGAAAGCCTGGAACTGTATTTGTAAATTACATGTGTACCCTGCTAGGGGCGACACTGTACCTCTCAACTTCTGGTGAAATACCAGTGAAGTAGTTGGTTTACTTGTTATAATTTTATCCCGCTTTTCCTCAGTGCATCCTGTAAAACAACTGGCTGAAACAGGCTGTCTTAACTTTTGATGCAGACACACATCAGCCAGTACTTTGAGACCATTCTCTGCAACAGGACTTGCAACCTTTGGTTATCCTTAATTTGTTTCTTTTTTGGTCCTATAGAGAGAGATCCAACACTTGAGATTCGGTACAGGCATAAAAAGTCCAAGGAGAAGGACCGTGAGGGTGAGCGGGAATGTGCCGAGAAGGATGAGTTACGTGCGAAGGCCCAGGAACTGGCCTTAGAGCAGAGTCGCAGCTCAAAAGTAAGATTTTTTCATGGATGGGTCACCAGTGGCTTTCTAATTCCAGAATACTGGTATGCAAATTAAGCATCCTGTAAAATTCTGGGGCAACTGCCTCTTCCCAACAGTCATGCTCTGACTGTTTGATGTAGTACAGGTAAATAAATATCTTGCCCAGTTTCTGCCTGCTCAAGTTATTCAAAAATGAAGATGGAATTATTGTTTGAAAATGCAGGACTGCAGTAGGTCTCCTGCAGCTAATTACATGTCAAGTTTTGTCATTTGTTGGTGTGGTTCATTTGATAGACATGTCCAACTGAGGCCTTTGACACCTAAGTGGAACACTTATCCAAATAACAAATCAAAATCTATTTAGCTGGAAATTGGATCAATGCCTCTTTATTCCTTGTTTCCTGAACAACTTCATATTTTATTCTTGTTGCCTAGTTTCTGAAACATGTTTTGTTTTTTGCCTCCCTTTGCCTCTATTGTTTATTCAAAGCTGAGTTTGTTTATCCTTGGGAATTTTCAAACATGAGCTACATCAGCGTTTATGAGATTTTGACTCACACCTTTCTTTAATTTTAAAATTCATCTTGCCTCTTGTGCCCTGTAATTATTTTTTGTTGTTTAAAAATCTTAAGAAGTGCGTTACAAAATTGAAAGCACAAAAGCGATTAATAAAATCAGCCAATACAATTACAATGTAATAGATTGTAAAACAGCAGATGTTACATATTGTAAAGCAGCAGCCAAATTGCTGCTCAACTGTATGTTTGCTTTGTGCTCCCCTCCTGCTGTCCATTGATATTTTTCTGGGTTAAGACAATTTTCGTAGAGAACTGAGATGTGGTGGCAGTGATATGAGAAAGGTGGGCCTCTAAACGGAGCAAATAATGCTTGCCTGCCTCCATAGCTTTCTCACTGGGTGAGGGTGGCCCTAGGTCCTCCATCTGATGATGCAAACCAACACATCCAAAATATGATGCAGTTGGAATTATCCTTTTTGCTCTTTGTTATACACTTCCAGCATCTGATTACCTGCTTATTTAGACCATAGATATTGCAGTTTGAATGAAATCAGACTAGAGCATGGACTAAGTGATTGGCATGCATATTTTAAACTTTCTTGGTCCGTTAATCTTCACAGCTTCATTGACAATGAAGTCCATAGATCCAATCTGTACATGGATGAGCTCTATTAGTGTTAAAAATGGAATTGGCAGATTAAGACTGCTATTTGTTCTTATTTCACTGGGAGTAAAGCCCATTGAACATGTCAGATTGTCTTGTAATATAAAATCAGTTTATCAAGAGCTAGTATCCTCCATAGTTAAACAAAATCTCCATACCAGATGCTCTGGACAAAAGGAGGCAGGCTGTTCCATCCCTGCTTGTGAGCTTCCTGAGGCATCTGACTGTCCACTATTAGACAGCAGAAATAGATGGACCTTTAGCTTGACTTGTTAGGGCTCTTTTTATGTTCGTTACTGTGTCTGACGATTTGGTTGTGCCTGTGTATGGAGAGAAGAAAGAACTCTTAAATTGATTGACATCACTCACAGGTGACTATATCTGTTTCTAAGAATTTGGGACATGTTTGGTGTATCTGGATAAGTAAGTATGCACTCGTGTCTGGGGCATTGCATAGTTGTCCCTCATGTTCCCTTGGCTGGAAGTCTCTACTCCTTGGCTCTGTTGCTGAGATGGCAGGCACTCTGTCCGCTGCACTTGATCATTATGACATGTGGGCTTCCTTAATGTCCAGTTTAGACTTCTGTAAGGTGCCGCATGTAGAGCAGTCTTGAAGACTGTTCAGAGGCTGAGCCACAGTACCTTAGGCCAGCAACTAGAGGTAACTGGGTCATCCTACCTTCCCAATGCAACCTTAATTTTGGGGTGGGGGGAAGCATGTGTAGCAAGCTCTGAGATGTGAGGAAACATGTTCTCCATCTTACTCTTTCCCAAGTTTTAGAATCAAGTAAAAAGGCTTCTTTTCAGGACCCAGCACTGAGGGAACCAAGGATGTTACTTTCCAGAAGTCAGGCTTTGTTTGCCGGGTTCACAGCCTTAAGCTTGAGCCTTGCAGTTTCATCTTTACTCATTTAATCTGGCTTAATATTGATTCTTGTTGGCTTTAGTATTGTATGTATACTCCTGCTTGATATATTTATTTAAAATAAAATTGGCTGCTTTAATGATTGAGCACTTAACAGGTGGTCTATACATACTATTGTGAGCATTTCCCCCCTGCCCCCACACTTTTCCTTTCCAACAGACCAAAATGAAAGCTCCTAAAATATAGACCTTTACTGGGGTTTAACAGGCATTACTGTGAGAACTGTTTACTATGAGAGCTGTTACAAGTTGCATGAATCAAATAATGATTCATTCAGTCTGTGAGATTAGCTACTGCCCATGTGAAAGCTGATTCTGAACTGGAATAGCTCCTTCCCTGCTTCTTTTTCTTAATTCCATTGGTTTGGTGGGTCACACTGCTTCTGGAATGGGAATGCCTGACATTGGCTAATTAGTCTGCCTGTTTGACTTGGCACTGCCTCACAGGGTCTAGGAATTTACTTTCCTCCCCTCTTTGTTCTACAGTGCCTCCCTCAACCCCTGTTCCTATGATGGTTGGGTCTTAATTGCTGCCTGACAAATCTTGCTTGTTAACCTTGACTTTTCATTCATCTGCCAGCTCCTCTTCTGCCCCATTTATCTCACACTCCAAATCTGAACTGTCTGGCTGAGAATGCTGTAGCGTGAGAGAGCTGGGCCCCATCACTACTCACAAATGGACATTTAGGACCTGGATAGGTTTCTGCTAGGTGGGTGGGTTCTAGGCATAAGAGCATGTCCATCTTGTCCAGTGCTGTGTACTCTGATTGGCAGTGGCTTTCCAGATCTCAGGCACATCCCTAGCTCTGCTACTTGAGCTGCCCCTTCTTAATTTTGAAATATCAGCAGAATAATACAAAATTGTAATATTTATAATATTGCATCCATAGTTTGCATAGAATATATAGCAGTTCTTTCCCTCTTTGCCTTCCCAGCAGACATAGATAGGAACTTAGAAGCACAGTCATTTAATTAGAGCTTTACTGATGGTAGTACAGTATAAATTAAAGTAACATTCTCCTTGAGAAGTCGGAGAAGCATCTTCCCATGTGAACAGCTGGATCCACACTGAGACATTCTTTCCTTCAGAAAAATTCTGACTTCACCCTCAGGGTGACTTCTGTGTGAAGGTTGGAGGGAGGGAATGCTAGAGACCTTGTAATAGGTCATGTTGCTTCACCTATCATCTCCTGATAGCATCAAAGGACTCCCCCATCTTCTCCTATCTCCCTGCTGTGAAATGTTTCCCTCTTTTTCCAAGGCCTGCTGGTTGTCATGCTCTGCCTGAGAATCTTCACTAGGTAATTTTGAAACTGAAAAGTCCTCTGCTCCTTTGTCTCCTCCTCAGATCTGGAAGAATCTATCTGAGCAGATTGTAATGTGCAGGAGCCAGGGCCCCTCTTTAAACATAAAGATGACAATACAACTTTCTAACAGTTGTATGGAGACTTCAACAAAATAGCAAAGACCACCAAATAAGTAACTGTTAGAACATGGCGCCTGTGTGCCAACTGATCAAATACGGAAGCGTTATAAAGCCCTTAATCCACTGCATTATGGGAGGTGAGCATGTCTGCTTCAAGTGTTGTAATAACAACTCTTCTGCTGTTAATAGGGCACAAATGATCAATTTAAACTAACCATTTAAGCCATTTAACCATTTATAAGCCACATGGATGAATCCATTTTCCTCATCCATCTCTACTTAAAACCCTGTGCATCATATTAACTAGAGATGATAGACTACACATGTAGCTCCTTAACAGTAGATGCTGGGGCCAAAACGTTGACATGGCTCAGCCCAAGGCAGAGGTGGACTATTAGCTTCAAGAGCAAGACCACTCTTTTGGACCCAACAAAGATGGTCCAGAAGGAGTGTTTGAGCATATCATGCCATCCTTCCAATGTACATTAAACATGTACATCCTAAATACAATAAAAACTAGGAGGGACAAGGAACCTGAGGAGTGCCAGGAAAGGTTTCTGTGGGCTCATTGATACCCACATTGGAGATGCCAGTGTGTCATGAGGTCGTAACTCATGTCTCCAATTAACTCACACAGCAGCTGGCCATAAAACTAAAGACTTTTATTGCTACTTTCTATAAGATTTATGATGCAACAGATAAGCTCTAGCGGAGAGCTCCTAGCAACACAGCTACCCCCTCCTTTCTGAAGTATCTGAGAAGCCCACGTGGGATTAGATTTTCCTGTCACATCTTTCCGCTCATGGGTGGGACAAACCTCTGTCCTATCTTCTCAATTGGTCGAGCCACAATTGATCTAGATGCCTTAAACTCCTCCTAAGTTGGGCGTCTGCCAAATTCACTGTTATGTCTTCTTGTTCTCCTGAACTCTGCCCAGCAGCTTCAGAGGCAGGGGGCAACTTGTTCAATCACCTCAGAGACAGGATGAGGAGAAGCTACTCATTCAGAAGCCTCACAGTCAGGCTGTGGGGAGGCTATTTACTCAGAGGCCAAAGAGTCAGGGTGTGAGGGGGCTACTTGCTCAGCAGTCCCAGAGTCAGGCTGCAGGGGGCCCTTTTGGGCACTGGGCCCCAAGTATAAGTCCCCTTGTTCTAATGCCTGATTCTCATTGTGAACGTTTGACTCTTTCTTGCGAGTCGACGTCTCTGTCGAGCCGTCAGGCACGACACTACCCCCCCCTCCACAACCTCCCCTCCCCCGACGATGCAAGAGACATGTGCCACCTGGTTTGTGCGGGAAACAAGTGTGGAATCGTCTTAGGAGAAAAGGTGCGTGAATGTGGTCAAGGGGCCCCCAACTGTGTTCCTCGGGGGGGGGGTAGCCCTTCCAGTGTACTAGATATTGCAGGCATCCCCTCTAGAGTCAAGGATCTCTTCGATTTCAAATTCTTCTTGTCCATCCACCAACATGGGCGGAG